AACCCCTGAGAGAAGGGAGGGGACATGCTTGCAAATCAGCTTTCTGTGGCAGCTGCTGCAGTCTGCCCTCTGCTAACACTTCAGCCCATGTGGAAACGAATATGGGCTGTTAGAGACAGAAAAGCAGTTATAGACTCTGTGTCTTTTGAGATATTCATGACACCAAGATATATTTATCTTTAGTGCTCAAAAAATTTTTTAAGTTTTATTATTCTGTAGTGTGTGTGTGTGTGTGTGTGTGTGAGAGAGAGAGAGAGAGAGAGAGAGAGAGAGACTAAGAATGCTCGCATATCATGACTCATGTGTTTGCAAGTTAGAGGACAACCTTTTACAGTTGTTTCTTTCCTACCATCTTTATATGAGTTTGGGGGATTGAACTCAGGCCGATCCACAATCAGGCCTGGCTAGTAAGCCTTTCTCCCCACTGAACCATTTCACTGGCTTCAGGAGGGTTTCTGTAAAAGGTCACAGTGGAAAACACCAAGATACTCTTTCTCTTCTCTTTCTCGTTAGTCAGTTAATCAAGGAAATGTCTGCATACTACCACATGGCAGGCCATGTGACAGATGCTTAGCCAGTGCACAAAGAACCGCAGTGAAACAGGTGTTTGCTAGAAATGACTCAGCAAACCCTCGCGGTGTGCAGACAAGGTCATGTTGGTGGGGGAAGGATGGTGGCAGCAGTAAGCATGTGCCCCTGGCAGCCCATCCTACAGTAAAAGCCTGCTTCCGGCTGGTCCCACTTTCTCACATTGACATCTCCCCGTTGGCATCTGTGTGGAACACCTGGCAGCCATAGTCCAAAGGGTGTCTTGACTGAAATGTTTTATATTTAAAAATACTCGCTAAATTCTGAACTAATGCAAGTTTTCTATATTTTTTTTCATTCCCTGGGTCCCTTCTGTATAATAAACTTCAACAACAGAGCTCTCCAGAGATCTTAGGAAGTCAGAGAATAAACCGTGTGAAAACTCATCAGGCCGTGACCACACAGCTGGCCTGCAGGAGGCAGTGTTGTGTTTCAGTGGCCAGGTAGCAAACAGAAACAGCCAAGGAGCAGGGTCCCAGTGTCCCCTC